TCTTTTCATCAAATATAAAGGAACTATTACAGTTAACTCCATGAGTACCGAGTGAATACGCAGTGGTTATATACAACGATGATATAACAAACAATGGGATGTGTGTCTTCTGCCTCATTTCCTGTTCCTTGTTTGGTTGTGGGCTTAGGGCAGATACACACAACCGATTGTTTGTTTACTTTGGGTTTTTATATAACTTGTATCTATTTAATACTCATAGAAAGGACTATAGAGTCACTTTTACTTATCTTTCATCAAAGCAGGAAATATAGGATTTTCTGGAGGAACAGGCAAACGTTTCTAAACAAGAACTTACTACAACTTACTACAACTTTCTACAAACTTTCTTACTACTTACTACATCACTAAAATCTTAGGAACTCACCAGCTTAAATGCTTATCTACGCTTTCAAAATAACTTGTATTCTCAGGAGACCAGTAGACAGGTTCGCGCACTGGGATTCAGAAGATGGAGCAGTATAGCTTCATGTCTTTTTGTTATTTGCTATGTATTCTATATTATGTGAATCTCATACTTTGTAAACACTTTTTTTCTAATGAAATGGTTGTTTATTACTTTGCTTACTATGATGCATGTCTTGTGATACTAAACATGACGTCCTCCGCCCCCGAACGTTTCCATCGTTCCAGTTTTGGGGTGTGACACAAGGTTTACAAGGTTCTCGATCACATTGATAACACTCCTACACCGGTTGAAATCGATCCCGGGTACCTCCAATGGGTTGAAATCGACGCGCTTGTCCTTCAATGGATATACAACACCTTGTCTGATGAATTGATGGTCCGCATCTTAGAGACTGATACCACTACCCAAGCCGCTTGGAATAAACTCAAATGAACTTTTCTCAACAACAAAGGGTCACGTGCAACAGCCCTTGAACAGGAATTCACCAGACTTACCTTGGGAGCATGTTCATCTTTGGAATCTTATTGCCAAAAACTTAAAGATCTTGTTGATCAGCTTTGAGATGTCGAGAACCCAGTCACTGAGTCTAGACTGGTCTTACAAATGGTTCGTGGGTTACCACCAGAGTTTGATGTTGTCGGGGCCTACATCAATCAAAGCTCTCCGTCATTTGAAACAGTTCGCAGAATGTTACAACTTGAACAACATAGACAAAAAGTTAGACAAAATCAAACCCACACGGTTCTCGCTGCTCCCACTTCTGTTGACAGTTCACCACAAAACGAAGCAGTTGGTCAACGCAATCAAGGTCAATCCCACAGCAACTACTCGGGTAGAGGTACAGGCACTCGCAGGCGAGGATTTACTGGTCGAGGATGTGGTAGAAGCTACAGGGTACGTAGAGGTCATGACCACCAAAACTGGAACCAAGGAAATCAATGGCAGCAAGGATGGAATGGATCGCAAGCATGGTATCCACCGTCATCACCATACCCTTCTCATGGACCGAATCAATCTACAAATCATTGGGCTAATCACACCTACGGGCCCGGTCAATATTCTGGACCCATGCCACAACAGGGGCCAAATGGACCTACGATGCAACCATCAGGTCCAACGCCTACTCCCACTCCTCAATTTGTTGGTTATTCCAACTACAGTCTATCAGATTTACCACAGATAATGCAGCAAGTTCATCTTAATTCCAATGATTCGGCGTGGTATATGGACTTCGGTGCCTCGACACATCTTACATCTGATCAGGGTAAGATCTCAAGTTCCATAACTACTTCGCCTGTAACATCGATTTTTGTTGGAAATGGCTCTAGTCTGCCAATTCATGGGTCTGGTCATGCTTCTTACACTACCCCCTCTCATTCATATACTCTAAAAAATATCTTATTTACTCCATCCGTTATTAAAAATATTTTATCTGTTCGTAAGTTTACTATCGATAATCAAGCATCTGTTGAATTGGACCCATCTGGTTTTTCTATAAAGGACCTCAAGATTGGAACTCTTCTTTCTCGTCATGATAGCACGAGAGAGATCTTTACCCATTCACCGCACCTTCCAGTTCTACTGCTCTGCTTGCCACTTCTCACGATCATTGCATGCTCGTGTGGGTCACCCAGGTGCTCCTGTTTTAGATTTACTTCGTTCAAAATTTTCAATTTCTTGTAATAAACCTAGAACTTCTTTGTGCAATGCTTGCCAACTATATAAACATACTCGCTTACCTTTTTATGATTCGCAATCTGTTACTTATGCACCATTTGACATTATACATTGTGATCTTTGGATATCCCCAGTCTTAAGCAAATCTGGTCACAAATACTATATGGTCCTTATTGATAACTTCACTCATTATGTATGGGTATACCCCATCAAATATAAATCTGACACATTTCTCACTTTTACAAAATTTCACAAGCTTATCCATACGCAATTTAACCGAACCATTAAGTCATTCCAATGCGATCTCGGGGGAGAATTCGACAATAATGACTTTAAATCCTTTTCCCAAACTCATGGTCTCGTCTTCCGTTTCTCTTGCCCTCAAACTTCCCAACAAAATGGACGAGCCGAACGGATGATTTGTTGCATTAATGACATTATCCGTACCCTTCTCATTCATGCCTCTCTTCCCCACTCATTTTGGGTCGAAGCTCTTCACACCACCACCTACCTTCATAATATCCTTCCTACTAAACACCTAAATTTTTCCAAACCTACCTTCTCTCTCTATGGTCGCCAACCATCATATGACCATCTCCGCACCTTCGGGTGCACTTGCTATCCTAATATCTCATCTACTCAATCTCATAAACTCCAGCCAAGATCCGTCAAATGTGTTTTCCTTGGTTATCCGGAAAACTTTCGGGGATATCGATGCTTTGATCCATCAACCGGCAAAGTCTATCTGTCTCGTCATGTTACATTTGATGAAACTTCTTTTCCCTTTGCCAATACCCATCCCCCCTCCACATCTTTTGACTTTCTTGATGACCCCCCCTCCCCCTTCATGCTTTTCCCTACTCCACATCCACCAACCCTACTCCACCTTCAACACCATCTCATTCCACCACCCCTACCCAATCCTCACCACCACCTCACTCCACTTCCTCATCTCCTCACCCTCCTATCTTGACCTATTCTCGCCGGTCAAAATCCACATCCACCACTACCGACCCTTTATCAACGCCCATACCTCCCTCCCATACTCCACCTTCACCTACAACAACCCATCCTCAATCCACTCCACCTCAAACTCCCCCTCAACCCCCCCCCCCTTCGTACTCATCCCATGACCATACGTGCACGGGCAGGAGTAACCAAACCTGTTACCCGTATAAACCTCCATACCACCTCTACTCCACCTATCTCTCCAATTCCTACATCCATCTCTGCCGCCATGTTTGACCCTAATTGGCTACGATCCATGGAAGATGAAAAGTCGTATAACCTCCAACCACAGGAGTTGTGCAAGATAAGCATTGATCTTCCTATACATATTTTTTGAACATGGGTGAACAAGGACAAAGAAGAATGCCTGAAACCTATAGAAGATGTAAACTTTTATTAGAAGAAAAATTAAAGATTGAACAAAACTTGTGAGACCCAGTGATAAAAACATTAGATCAAACCAAATTAAGACTGAGAATAAGAGCATAAAAACATATTAACAAATACAGATTTGGTGTAGTGAAGTAAACAAAACCAAAACATTTACTTATAAACCCACCTTCTTCTTATTTAAGTCATCATCTGGTCTGTAACAAAAACTCAACACCCAAAGATTAACTGAAGATAAAAGATCGAAAAATTAACAACAAAAAACCACGTACATCGAGGAGAAAGATCTGGAGGGTTGCGATGATGGCAGTGGGATGCCTTTGACATCCATCTCGAGATGGGTTTCTTGAGCATAGCGAAAGAGTGGCATAGTTTTTTAGAGAGAAATGGGGGAGAAAATGGATAGAGAGAACTCAATGTAGAAGATATGAGACCGAGTATTATTGAGAAATAGGTTTTTGAAGGCAAAACAAAATCAACAAAATCAGATGTTGAGGGTATCTGGGCGACATATGAGAGACTTATTAAAATTTAAAAATTTTTGTTGACTCTTTCTGGTCAAAAGGAAATTTTTGTTTAAAATTTAAATCTTATATATTCGGAAAGATAAGAGCTTCGATTTGAATGTTTCAATATTAGGCATGTGAATTTATTACGTATTAAACACTTGTATCTATTGCATTGTATTTTGTAGGATTTTAATTAAAATATTACTTTAATAATGATTTGTTATACTATTAGCTTAAACACTTGAATGTCTTAAATCTATTTTTAGAAATAATAAGGTTTGTATAATAATATAGTCAGATATATATATATATATATATATATATATATATATATATATATATATATATATATATATATATTGAAACCATGCTAATTTTGTGAGACTGTGAGACGTAATCTAAAAATAATTTTAAAATGCAAAATAAAAGGAAAAATCCGAAAATTCTATTTTTAATTATTATTTTCGTCATTTTATTTACCTAAAAAAATAAAAAAAAAAATTACCATTTTTTTAAAAAAAAAACATGAAATATTCTAATAGGATTTTACACTGTAAATATTCTAATGTGATTTTTAGCATGTTAGAATATTCTAGTATTCTACTAGATTTGTCTTATATGTAAAATATTATAATATTGTACTAGAATATGTGAAAAAACGATAATTTTTTTTTATTTTTTTTTGGAAAATATAAATAACGAAAATAATATTTTTAAAAAAAATTCTAAAATTTTCAATTGTTTTGCATTTTAAAAATGTTTTTTTTTAATCTACAAAATGAGTGGCTAAGATTGCGTCTCACGGTCTCACAATAGGTCGTCTCACATGAACCTAACTATATATATATATATATATATATATATATATATATATATATATATATATATATATATATATATAGTACTCGGATGCCCTTGATTCTATTCTTAGTAACTCACTGCTTATTAACCCGACGTTTAGATCGAGACAGGCATATTTGATTCGATCGATGATGTCGGCCCAAAATGATAACCTAGGGAACAAGGGAAATGAGGAGAAAGAAGATAGGGATGAACAATTAGTATCAAATCTCAATCCTGTATTAGTATTGTATTGGAACCGGTATCAAATTTAAACATTTTGAACAATACTTGGTACTCTAAATTCACGAAATTCGAGATTTGATACCACCGATACCGATACTAGTACTGAAAACTGGTACCACTCACCGTACCGGTACCAGTAATGTTAGTTCGGTTTGTGATTCTAGGTTCGGTACCGGTTCTGTCTCATGTTCATCCGTGGAGGAAGATGATACTAATTAGATGAAAACGATAACAATGAAGAATGCTTTTACATTTTATTTATTGCTTTATAGGTATTTTTTTGTAACAAACAACTTAATACATATATTATATAATATGGATTTTGTAGTACTTTATATGCGTTTTTATATAATATGCAGTTTTACTGTATTTGCTCTAGTAGCAGTATATCTAAATTTATGTGTTCATTTGTATACATTTAATAATAGAGTATAAAGAAAACAATAGTGGCCACATCAAAAAGGGCAACAATATTACGAGCTGAATAAAGGCAATAGCAGTGTCGACGACAAATGAGCATCAAGGGCGAGACAATAGCGACAACGTATTAGCAGGTGCATGTGGGTGCTAAAGCCTTTAGTGGCGACCTTTGATACTTTTAGCAAGGACATTTGTCGCCAATATCTTAATTTCTCTATTGGTTTTATTCTAAACAAATGATGATATTTAATAAAATCAAAATATATTATTTGTTATTATATATTGATATAAAAAATTGGCAAGTAATTAAAGTGGTCCTAAATTATTTTATTGAGGTTAATTAATGGATAAAAAATTAAAATTAATGTAAATTATTTATCTTAAATCATATTATTAACCTCAGTAAAATTAAAATTAATATAAATTATTTATCCTAAAACGTATTACTAACCTCAACTATACGATTGTATTGATATCTAGATGGTAAAAGTACGTAACATTTTTTTACAATAAGACTTTATTATAGATATATATGTTTTATTTACATTTAAAAACAAATTTGTTATCATTACCTGTTTATTAAATCCAATGATTTTAGTGATATAAACGAAATTAAAATCAAAACAATACTGATCTCAAATTACCTCAAGTATTCTTTCATGTGCCATCTAAGATTTAGGTAATATATGATTAGATTTCCGTATGAATTTTGAAAAGATGTTTCAAGGGTTGAAATTAAGTAGCCATATTTTATTAAAAAGCAATTGCCAAACCCATGATCAACGAAGGGTTGTGATTAATTTCAGTCTCTAACCTATACAAAGACTATTTCAAATAAGGAGTTGATCAAGTTATAAATAGTTAAACATCTCGGCGATATATAGGTAGTTTGGAAGGAAGAATTTGAAAAATGGGTTCCCTGGAAATAGTATTGATTGTTACAATTTGTTTAGTATCATATTCATAGAGTAGTAGGATAATGCAAGTTACAAATAATTATTGTGTAGGTGTGAATAACGCTTTTACACCATGCTTGGGCTTCTTCGATATGAAGGAAGATAAGCCATCGAGATCATGTTGTGATGGAGTCGATAGCATACTAAGGATGACAAAAAACAGCACGGAATATCGTGTGGCTACTTGTGATTGTTTAAAGACGTTCATGGCGAATCACACCCGAACGCGATTCTACAAAATCAATGAACCCTGTAATAGTCTACGCCTAGGAATCCCTGATATTGATCCAAAAGCCGACTGCTCACGGTAAATTTCTCTCTCTCTCTCTCTCTCTCTCTCTCTCTCTCTCTCTCTATATATATATATATATATATATATATATATATATATATATATATATATATATATATATATATATATATATATATATATATACACTAATACTAACACCATATGTATACATAATACAGAATATCATAGGTATTGGAGGGGTTCCAGACATCAAGATGGATTTCTAATAACAACATATATAGTAAATTAGTAATCAAGCTTTGGATTTTTATCAATATATGTATTGAACCTTTAAAAGAGAATTAAGGTTCAAGAATCAGAAGAAGACATACCAGCATGCACTAAAAATATATATATATATATATATATATATATATATATATATATATATATATATATATATATATATATATATATATATATATTACTTATTGTTTTAATGGTGTAATAAGAAATTTGAAATGTTGTATTTTGTAATCGTTTTCATTATATAATTTAATTATATGTTACATGTCGATTGGCGGTTGGTGAGTTTGTTTTTCAACATATATATTAGGTTCCAAATTAGACTTTAGCTTTATTTATCAAAAAAAAAATAATAATAAATAAAAAAAAAACTAAATAAACCAAAAAAATTGTATTATTTGTACCAGGGGATGCACTTCAGCTGAAAAACATCAGGAGTTCCTACATTTTTCCACCGTGATCCCTTTTTTTCCTGTTAAAATATTATAAAATTTGTAAGCAAAATTGATGATAATCGCTTTTGTTAAGAATAAGAAGTAACAGTTCTATTTTTGGCAAAAAATTTCTACTTTGTTAGTAATGATCAAGGTATTTCAGAGATCTATCGAATATTCAAAAAATTTAATATAAGTAACCTTTATTTTACCACAAATATGGCCATGTGAGGTTGAGTGTTCATCATCTCAAATGAAGCGAATTAATTAATTAAAAAACAAATAAATAAATAAGAAGAAAGACACCCACTAGCTAGGAACGAAAGAATTGCAATTTTCATTCTTTTTTTTTCACCATTGACGGAATTTAAGGGGAAAAAAAAACTTATCATAATAAATGAAAATGAAAATGATGTTGCAAAATATCATATTCTATGTCAAATTCTAAATTTTGTTGATTTTTTTTTCTATTTTTCATTTTCTTATGTTTTCTATTTTTTCTTAAAATTTAAAATTCACTTTTTAGTAAATATTTATATATGGTAGATACATTAATTCTATTAATCTTAAGAATAGATGATCTATCCGTTTCTTTCCTTCGTAAATGTTTATATATGAAAGCTACTTAATACACATTTCAAGGGATTAACATTAAGCATTTTTAAGTCATGTATTTAGGTAAATTTCTTTTATTTCAATATAAATTTATATTTACCTATATATACATACTAGGTTACAACCCGTAGAAACCACGGATAAAAAAGAAAAAACAATATTGATAATTAAAAATGATAATGCAAAATAAAGATTTAAAAAATTCAATTAAATTAATAAGATAAAAGTTTTGTTTAGATTTTTATATTGATTATTTAAAAATAATATATATATATATATATATATATATATATATATATGTTCTGTATGTGTCGACATTTAATACAATTATGATTTTATAGAATAAAATATAATTTAAATAGTGTGTAAAAAACATAATCAATCATTCAAATAACATTGATATACGAAAAATTAAATATAACAAAAATATAATAAAAATAAATAAACACAACACAGTAATCCTTATTTACTTTGAATAGTAACTCTTTGACAAATAATTTCGTCTCGACAATTAATTTCATTTACGTGTGTGTGGAACAATTTTATTTGTGCAAGTAGTTTTCTTTTAGACACGTAGTTTGTTTCTAAAACATAAGTAAGTTTAGGGTGTAGGGTTTAGTTTAAAAGTATGTTGGTGTGCAACGATTAGTTGTATTCGATCAGTGCGACTGAATGACGATTATTTTTTCTCTCCAAATTGTTTTTTTCGACCAATAATTATCTTTAGACAGTCAGTTTCGGAAAAGCCATTGTATTTGAAATATAGTTTACAAATGTGTGAAACTATGTTTGAGATCATAAAAACAATCATTTTTTATTTTTAAAAAGGAAAGTTATTTTTTTAACATGATATGAATAATAATAAAAACATAGCTATCTTGTCAGAGTAATACTTTTTTTTTTTGCATCCATAGATCTTTACTTGACAATAACACGTTAATTTTTGTTTTAATGCAACAAATGGGACAAATTAAAAATACATTGATATAATAAACTAAGTATTGTATTTTGAAAGTAGATTGGTATAATCTTGATGACTTTTTGTAACGACCAAAAATTTCAACCAAATTAAAACATTTTAATTCATTCAAAAACCATTAAGTTCATACATCTCGTTTTCAAAATAGTTTAAACATCAGAGTATCCCCCAGAACCATATCACATACATCATAAAACATGAGTAGCGGTACGATCACGCCTTCGCCTTACCACGATCTCCTGAAGTACCTGAAACAATACACTGAAACTGTAAGCCTGAAAGCTTAGTGAGTTACCCCCAAAATACCAACCGCACATAAACATACTCATAACATATCACAAATAGAACAGCCATGCACATCGGGTCTACTGTGTGACTAGTCCGCCCGCACCGGGCCTTCAGTCCACCTGGTCCACCCTCCGAGTCTAGCCATGTACATCGAGTCTACAGTGTGATTGGTCCGCCCGCACCGGGCCTTCAATCCACCTGGTCCACTCTCTGAGTCTACAGTATGACTGGTCCGCCCGCACCGGGCCTTCAATCGGCCTGGTCCACTCTCCGAGCCTCGGCACGTCTGGTCCGCCCTCTTGGGGTCTTCAACCTATCTGAACCGCTCGCTGGGCCTTCGGAATATCCGGTCCACCCTGGGTATGTTGGCCTACAGCACAAAGTAGGACCCGCCTCAACCCAACCCCCGTCAAACAACCATGTGCACATAAAACAATTAATCACATAACAGATCCTTAACCAGACAAACAGTCTAACAGATCACATAGCATATTATCATCCTAACCAGGATTCCGACCTAACCGGTCACTAGCATAACATTACCCTATATTTCGGGTACCGACCTTAACCAGGTCACTAACATAACATTACCCTATATTCCGGGTACCGACCTTAACTAGGTCACTAACATAACACCATCCTAAATACCAGGATGCAGATCTAGCAAGGCAATAACATAACAAACAATACCCGAATTTCCATCCGATAAAGGGCCGGCCTTGGTGCCGTAGACCCTGTTGATATAGTGAGGATAACTCACCTGAAATGAAGAACCGAACCACGGAAGCACACACCCGAACCACTGCTCCAAACTCCAACACCTATTGCCATCAATGGACCATTGACATAAATAACCAATTACCATAACACCCTTGAAGGTCAAAGTCAAAGTCAAAGCCAAAGTCAAACTTCCTGACTGACCCTACTCGTCGAGTCAACCCGTTGACTCGTCGAGTCCTTATACTCTGAAAACTCTTAGAACACGACTCAACTCGCCGAGTCACCCCAAGACTCGTCGAGTCCAACGATCTCCGAGTCCCATCCTGTCCAAATCACTAAGTCACCCCTCGACTCACTAATCTGCGTCTTAACCAGAAGAGGTTAGGGGTTCTGCGACCTGACTTGCCGAGTCCAAGGCAATCTTCAACAGACTCGCCGAGTTGTTCTTCCAACTTGCCGAGTCCATGCACATGTTCATACAACTCGTCGAGTACACCCATATGACTCGCCGAGTCTCTCCAGTTCTCAATCCATACAGAGGCTTTTCGAGCCATGCAGGGGCTCCAATCCATAGATCCACTCTTCTACAGCCTAACCCTCACATAAAGTTGCAAACTTTACGTGAAACCAAGGAGATATAAGCCCAAAACACTCTAGGGCTAGGGTTTATGACAAAGGGGCTTTACCAACAACTCTTAGACAGAAGCTTTATGACATTTTGGACCATCACAAGCCTAGATCTGAAGTAGCAACCTCAGATCTAAGCCTCTAACTCGAAATAGCTCTCAATCATACCAAAAATGCCCCAAATCTCAAATGATAATAGATCTAGATGCAAAAGAGCCCAAGCAACAAATTATTACCTCCAAAATAAGCTCCAACTGAAGTAGATCCCGGATCTACACCACTCCTTTGCAGCAAACCTCTTGAACTTCAAGCCCCTTTCCAAGATTTTCTCCTCCAAAGCTCTATTCTCTCTATTAATGGAAGCTCACTCGATTCTAGGGTTTCTGGATCTCAAAAGGGTAGCAAAGAGGCTGAGGGTGGGTTATAATGTGCTTTATATAGGGCACAACCCCCAGGATTAGGGTTTTCTCTCATCAGCACCAACTCTTCGAGTCCAAGCCGCCGACTCGGCGAGTTGGCCACTTAAACCGCGATAGAATCCCGCTCCGACTCGGCGAGAAAGCGGACCTACTCGTCGAGTCCCTTTCCTAAATTTACACTTTTGGCCCTTCATTGAACAATTGAAATTTGGGGTGTTACAACTCTCCCCCACTTAAATTAGGCTTCGTCCTCGAAGCCTACTGCAGTATACGCCTCAGAACGAACTCCTTGCCCTGCAGACTCCGACTTCTCAATCAACTCATACTCTTACAAACCCTACTTCTGCATCTCTCTTAAAATGGCTTATTCTCAAGTGGCATCCTTGCCACTACTCCAAGCCGATCATCGGCCTTTCAACTCAATAGCACTACGAATTAACCACGAATCACCCGATAATACTATCCCTTCATATCAGGGACACGCTTCCGCGCCCTGCAACGCTAGATTCCACAAACACCCACTGAGCTCTGCTAAGAAACTAATCCATCTTCCTTTGCCCAAAATTGGCGATAACCCTGATAACTTGCAACCTGGAACGAATCCTCATGATGGAATACCCCAGATTGGAATACCTCCACATACATAACTCAAGCCTACAACCATACTCGGAACTAAGGACCTTGTCCTTGCGTCACCCTCGAACCCTTCGGTTCGACACAACGGAGTGCAACCCACTCACACCTCCCTATCACGATCTCTAGGTCCTTGACCTCCGACTGTAATATCCTTATACAGTCCTCAGCACCGGTCCAGACTACTCCCGAGTCTGTTAACCTGCAATCTCACCTTCCTCTGTCCCAATCTCCAATCTGGAACCACTTTCCTCCTCCTCTTCCAAGGAGACTGAAAACATGCCTGCGCATCATCCAACATTGCCACAACCTCAACGGGCATCTAACCCGTATGTGCTTCCATATATCTGGTACAATCCCAGTGCTTACTACCAAGCACTTTCG